TTTGTAAACATAGGATAAATTTGACAATAATCGCACATAACTGTGTTTTTGAGAGTTCGTTTATTTATTTCCAAAGTAGTTAGGCCATGTTTTGATAACTACTAAAGACATTTTTTACCAATTCAGTGAATACCGTGAAATGGTTTGAATCTTAATCGATACTCTAGTTTCATCGGAGTACGCAGCGTAAATTGGAATTTTAGCGTCACAGACACAATAACAAACAAACAGACAGACTGGCAGAAATTGAAATAAGGCTCGTTTCGGATTATTTTAGGCTATAAAATGTAAAAATGATCATAAATTTCATGATTCTATTAAATGTAAAGGAAAAACTGTAATTTTGTCCTATATTAATAGGCAAGCATGTTTCTTGAAAACATTTTTCCTCAGCTCATGTGCATCACAGGGAAAATCTACGCATACTGTTAGAAAGATGTTTTCCTGTAATTGTGCAGAATCCCTTTATAAATTAAAATAGGCTAAAAAATAAGGAAATATTAGTTCAAAATAAAAAAATTACATTGGCCTGATAATTGAAGAAGGGTTACCATACTGGGGACGAAATAACAACGTTATGTAAACAGAAAATCGAAACAAATGGAAGACATTCCAATCACATGTTTTATTTACAGCGTGGGGTGAAATTAGAGAATTCAATAGACCTTATTATATAATTGACTTTATATACAAAGAAATATGTTTGTCTATTATATTACAGTAATAGGCAAACATGTTTCTTTGATTTTTTTGCTCTTTCCCTTTCGAATTACGATTGTTTATGGTTATATTACAAGTGTTACTTATAAAATGTGTACTGTATGAAATGCACTGCACCCCACGCTGTAACTAAAACATGTGATTGGGATTTCTTACATTTGTTTTGATTTTCGTCAACAGCGTGGCAACCCATAAGGTCCATGTTAATTTTTTTAATTAATTTTTTTGTAATTATTTTTAGCTTATTTTTATTTATAAAGGAATTCTGCACACCTACAGGAAAATATATGTTTTAAAATTGTTTTAAAGAAACATGCTCGCCTATTAATATATAGACTAGGTGAAACCCGTCGAAATCGACGGTTATTTTCAAGGGTTACGCTAATTCATCTAACTGCGATAAATTGAGTGAAATTGTACATATTTTGAGCATTTAGCATTGTTTAATGATTAATAAGTGTAAAAACAATAATGATAGTTACCAAATATGGTTGATCATTCAATGAGTAAAATATCTCCCATACTGTACGTCCTCGGAGTTGTTAGTATATTATCTGGTATCTCATCGTTTGGATTAAACTTTAAATAGTATTAAAATCGTATTGGTGGATTTTTTGTAGTTAAACACTTCCGTGATTTCATCAGTGTAATGCAGATTAATCTATGATTTTATTTGAAAAAAATATCTGTTTGTTGGGAAGACAGGTTCTAACTTCAAAGGGAGATATCCATTACAGTGTAAGTTTGATTTTTCCTTCGTCACGTCGCGTCAGTTCATATCGTACTTCTGTGCTAATGAATAACCCTCTATCACAGTTTTGAGAAATTTGTTGTGGGGTTAGTGTTAAAGCTGGAATTCCTTGACTGGGGGATGTCAGTTAGTTGTCTCAGCCTTATCAATTACATAAAGTTGTCAATATAATCTCCCTACAGAATGTGAGGTGTAGTGGAATATACTTGAAGTGAAGTTGGCTTTTATTCTTAAACTGTTAGGGGCCTCCTCATTTATATGCGGCTTCATTGACAACAAATAATGCAAATGACATAGCAATGGGACATTTCCAAAAAGGAAAAATACTGTAAATTTGCTGTTACGTAAATATTGACGTTTACATGCATTGTTAATCAACGTATCTTATAAAGGATGATGTGATATAGTTTAAAAGGAATATGACCTTTCTGTCATGGCAGTAGCTGCTTAAATATTATTTACTCATTGGGCTATATTTACAGCCAAAATGTTGTGTTATTTTCAATAACATATGGGTAAGTTACATAGATTTTTTTGCTGCTGATCATTGCACTTTAAGAATATATATTTTGGAGATAAATTAAATGGGTTTTGTTGCAGAGTAGCGCTAGTAAACATGCACAACCCTTTTCGTTAGTCTAATAACATTCAAAGGCTCTCTAAGAATTCAAGTTCTTATTTGTATAGGTACATATCTATATTATGTTTTCACTAAGCTGAATGAACACATCGAAGTAACTTCTCTGAAAAGTCTGCAGTATATTGCAGTTTTCCAGCTTAATGACTTTATTTATCATGCAAATATTTCTACATAAATATTGTAAAATATTTTATCCAGTTGCTGTAAACTACTATTAATTTAACAAAATATGGACACGGCTCAAATAGGCACCGTGCCCTTCTGCACTTGTAGGCTATTATTTTGTATTGTATTACACAATTTAATATTTTTCCAATGATTGAAAACATGTATGACAATAATCTCATGAACCTATGATGATCTGTCTAGAACAATATGATAAAAATAAAGACAAAAATGGTGAAAAGGGCAGTCACCAACCCGTAAAATAGATATAAGGCCAATAAGAAATAATTTTAAGAGTTACTGTGATAAAAGGATTTTCCACTGATTTCGTCATGGTATATATTGCAAAACATAACATGATACAGAAAAAAATTTATTTTAAAATCAGAAAATAACATTGCAAATGCTCCTTTTGGACAATTCAGTAACTCCCAATTAATTAATGTGTCTTGTTTAAAATACAATTTATAAATTAACAGCTGTTTCATTAAAAAGTATTATCGTATTATCCACATGGCCAAAATGTAAACAAATCTGTAGAGGGATCTTTAAAGGCTTCTGGGGCAGAGCCCTAAGAGAATTTACTTCGTTTTTCTTTTGATAGCCCATCTACAGACCAAGACCATTCTTTTGACACCCCTACCAAGTTTCTACGCCCAGCCGTTCTCTCAAATTAGTGGAGACAAAGTTTCCAATTAAATTTTTAGATTCCCCCATGTTAATCTTATGGGAGAAAATCCAACTTTGATGGAAGATCCTGCCCAAACTAATAAAGATATCAAAAAACGAAAAACACTTTGCTAAACTACAGATCAGGGCAATTCTTTTGACATTTTTATCATCAAAATCGGTCCAAAAATGAGGGAGGAGTTCTGTTCACAAAAATCGGCTTAGCGTATTATATATATAGATGATTAATCTATTTGTAAGTTCAATGGCTAAACAGCTTAACAGTATTGTGTTTCACCTCAACATTTCAACAAACCAAGATAAATGCGAAGACTGGGCCAAGAATGCACATTTCCCGTGCATGTTTGTTTAGCACCAAACACATCTGTTGCAATTCAGTCTCGCTTTCATCTTACTTGAAGAGGTCAACACACACTAAACACTGGCTAGTTGTAACTACTTTAAATAAAACAATTCTCTACCATCGCATACTGAATGACAATTGCAGGCACAACTTAAGTCCTTTAAACTGTACTGTTAAAATGATAGAGGTTTTCGTTTTCCACTCTTTTGAGTTTCCATATTTTCAGCTTTGTGTTTTACCGGTGCTGCGTGGTTTTTAAATAATTTTTTCACAGTCTATGTTTTTTTACCTAAACACGAGATCAGTTTTTAGAAGTCGTGGAACTTTTGTTTTTTCAATCATGGAAAATGTTTCCAAAAATGTTTTAAACCTAATGTTGTCTCATAACTAACGGTGGACTTAAAACAAATAGTTAGGCAACAAAAATCATCAGATTCGTCTGTTTGAGTAATTTCCGAAGATTTATAGAACATTCTTAACTGCAGTTTTAACATAATAATCTATTATTTTCCCAGTGTAATATTAAGGTCAGTTCAATTTATATATGATTTATTATTAATTATTAAATTCTGCAGTTCTTAAGAGGGATGATTTTTGAATTATTTCCCTTTTCAAGTATACAGTATCGCAAACAACTGAGTATGTGTTTTATAAATAAATGGCATATTAATCTTATATATTAAAGAACTTTTGCAAAACTTATGACAGCTAGCCTGATCATACTATTAGACCGAATTACACGCGGGTTGTACCAAAAGAAAAGTTATCGGTACTTTATGTGCAGGTTTTATTTGTATTTCGAAAATATTTGTGTTATTTGGGCCAAAAATGGAAATTAGACTTATAAATAACAATAAAAACTTATAAATACCAGCTTATAAACAACAATTCCTCATAATTTTTGTGACCATTGAAGTATTTTTTTACCCAAAACTTTCTAAGTTGAACTGCATTTTAAACACCAAACACACTTACTTGGCGGAGTTAGTATACGATACACCTTGTAATTTAATTTGTTTACACTTTGACCTCTAAATTAACATTCCTTAAATATTGAATAGCCCTCAAAAAAAAATTATTTTGTAACATTCATTTTTCCCCAATCTCCGAATACCCTTAAATGCCCCATACACTTACACTGATGTTACATAGGTATACTAGAAGTATAGAAACTTCTCCTCTAATCTCTGCATAGACTGTATCCACCAAAATAACATTATTCAGATATTTAAGGAAATCTTGGAACATATGAAAGATTATGTTTGAAAAGTCAATATTTCCTAAAGTTCTGTAAAATATCCCTTCATGTATTTGATGTACACCCTCTAATATTTCCCTAGCCCAAATCAACCCCTGGCAAAAAAACTTAAACAAATTGACCCTATCTATAAAAAATTAGAAAAATTCTTAATTTTCAGAAACCCCCTCTTAAAGTCCATAGTAGTTTGTATGCATAGTACACACTGTGTACATGAGGCAAACCCTCCTCTAATCACTCCCTAGACTTAACTGGAGATTTGGTGACCCTAAAAATAATTTAGAAAAATTCACTATTTTCCCAAATCTATCCAACACCCCCTACACTTGCAGCCTCCAGTATGCATTTATGCTAACACCCCCCACCCGCCCCATGGGTAGTGGGGGCCGCTCCATCGCCGTGTGTACGCGCGCCTGGTCAGTTGAGGCGGGCCCCGTGGTCCGTCATGTAACTGTGCAGTCGGGGATATCGCAACATGCAGCGTACACGGACGATCGTGTTGTTAGCTGCGCTCACACTCGCATACCACCTCCCTTATTGTCAAGGTAAATAACTACGATCAGCTGTTTATTTTTAGATACTTAAATATATGTTAATTATTTTATTTTTAAATATTTTTTTTTGTTAAGTTGAAAATTTTTGAATTTTTTTTAAGGGTAGTATATTTTTAGTCAGTAAATTTATACTTAATTTAAAATTTACAAAAATACAATGTGGAAATTTAATATTTTGTTATAAAATTTATAGAAAAAAAAAATATATAAAACAACTATTCATAGTTTATCAAATTTATAAAATTATAAAATAATTAGGTAATACATAGTTGGAAATTTGGGAATTTATTATATTTGAATGTATAAAAATTTACTATATAAGAATAAATTGAATTGAATTATATTTTTAAACGAATATGCTAAATATTCGGAAACGTGTGTCGTCATGAATATATATTTCAGTTTAAAACTTAACAGTTCGTTTTAGTTTATTAAATTTTATTTATTGTTACACTTTTACATTTTAAATTATTCCAAAACGTCTAACATAATAAAATATATTTTAGCATTTTAAAATGTTGAATTTAAACATAGCTTTGATTGTGTATATATTCTTAAAGACTTTATTTATTTAAGCAGAACTTCTAAAGTTATTATTCGTTTCCAAACATAGTACTGTATTCTAAATCGTGTAACACCTAAAATTATTACTTAGAAACCTATTGATTCTGTTATTATGGGGGATTTTGGTCGTGACGTTTACCTTTAATAACTATTCTAATTGTTGTATTGGTACTAATTATTCTTGGTTTAAAGAACGTATATTTGAGAAGCATATTTTCAAATTTCGATAAAGTATTGTTTAGGTATTTAATAGGGAACGACCTATAACATTTTAATAATTAATATTCACTAGGGGTTTTATGAGTTTTCAAAATGTGGAAAGACATTTTCTAAACAAATTTACATTGTTAAAATAATTATTGTTTATTTAACTCATGAACTAAGTCAAATAAAATTTTTACAATAAATATTTAATATTTTTATATCCATGCAATATGTCATGGGATTCAAGAGCATTGTTTTTATATACATTTAACAATAGGAAGAAGTTTTCGCATCTACAGTGGTTTGTAGGCTGGTTTCTTTCAATTTACTGTACTTATCAACATCAATGCACTATTTTGAATGGAAAACACTATTAGAGAAAATACTATATATATACTATATATAGCTATATATAGCCCTATGCTGTGCACCATTCCTAAATACGCTCCTTCGTAGTCGCGGTATTCCCCTAAATACATGATACATTTCACCTAAAAACAAAACACTAAAATCAATAAACAAACAAATATGCAATGTTTACATCAGCTGGTACATTCAAAACAGCATAAGCACTATAAAGAAACGCTGTAGCAATACTTATATTAGGATCTTTAACAGCCTGTGGGGCAGAGCAGGGGTAATTTTTGACACTTCTGATAGTTTACCCACCGTCCTTGGAGAAATTAACCCGCAATAGCTATGCTACCTTTTTCCTAGCTCGATATATTTCGAGGGGACCGATTCGCTTACGGAATTAAATATATCGATATGTTATCTTATCTTTTCATACATAGTGAATACGAAGCATATAAAATACCCCCACCGCAGCAAACCTGCAGACTAAATGAATTTCCATTTGGCCGATAGGATTTTTAATTGAATCTATTTAAATAACATTATGTTTAACAAGTACCTACGTTTACTGCTACAGGGAGGGTAATAAAGTGGATTTTTAGTAGAATATAAATAGCTTGATATAAAATAAGTTAATTTGCTAAGTTTTGTCAAAATATAACAGTAAACAATCAAACTGTAACAGTTTACTTATTATTCTCCATAGAAATAGTATGGTAATTTTAAATTTATGGTTTTTTATTTCTTTCCGTAACCAATAACCGTAAAAAACCTTCAATATACTAAATTCTTTGTTTTCTTAAGCTCTAAAATATGGTACTAAGAAAAATTGGGATTTTTTTTGTTTTGAGGGTCAAATATGAGAAAAACCCATTCTCACCCCATAAAACCCCATTCCCATAGTCCCCATAAAATATGATCGGACGATCATGCTGGTTCGCGAACTCATTCAAGTTTATCCCGCCCGACACCCCGCCCTATATGTTCAAACAAAATCGTTGTTAAAATCAAACTTTATCAAGAACTTGATAAAATTTGTTTCTTAACAACGATTTTTTTTATTTAGTAGGGCTTATCGTGTTTTTTCCATGAAACGTATAAGAAGCGTCTTACTCACACTACATGCTGGTTGCTCCCACATTATATCTACGTATCTCACAAGGGCATGGACGTTTCATTACAATTATTGACATGAATTATACATTTTTTTGTATGTATTGCTGTTATGTGTAATTTATTCGCGTTCAATACATGGAATTATGTTAAAATAGACGTGTTGATAATTTATAATCGAAGACTATAGAACGGAAGTGCGTAATGGACTTTTATATCGTAAATAAAAATCTCAGATTAAGTTTCTGATGAATCAAATATAATTTCATTACCTTCTCTGTGGCAGCAAACCTATTATTTTTATTTAATAGGAGATAAATCTGGCATTTTTAACGATATATTTTAGTGAAAACACAATCAATCAGGCAAATGAAAATTCGCAGTCGACAAGTTTGCTGCAGCGGGGGGGATTTCGTTGTTGATTTCGTTATACGTTTAAATACGATCAGATTTTTCCATTGTGTTCATTTGTTGTGTACATTTATCCACGCAGAAATTAGTACGAACCCCTTACTTCAGTACTGTATAGACTAAGCTAACGTTTCCTATAATTATTTAGTGGAACACCTTTCATTTTATTTTTATAGCTTTACAAAACTATATTTTTTAACCATACAACATTGTAAACACTACTGTACTAGATCAATACACAATTTACACAGACATAAAAAAATATATATTTATTGAGACATGGCGAGAGAAAACTGATGTTCCGGAGAACAGAAATATTTCGTTGGTTTGTAGATGAATCTGTCGTTGGGAATCATGAATAGAGTTGTTCTTTTTTTCTCTAGGAAGGTACCTGAGTAGTTGCCAACTCTTCTAAATTCATCTTTAAATTGTGGTATAGTTCAAAGCACTCCTAGTTTCTTAGAGACATGCTCAATTGCGAAAGGCGGCTTGAACAATATATCTCTCAAAACTGTAGAGCAATTGCAACGTACAAAAACGGTAAACTAAAATAATCTTTTCAAATATGGGGCTTCTGAGTAACTTGGAAGTAGTGTACGCAAGTTTTAGTGATTACTCTAGTTTCAATGTTTCTAAGGACCATAAACGTGGTATCCTCTGTAGTATGTACTAGGTGGCGTTTGCAGAGGCATCCACAAAATTGAGCGGAGCCATCAAGAGTTTATATTATATTGTTTTGGTCATACTACAGTAATACCAGTTGTTTTTAAAGCATGCGTTGCGGGTCTAAAGTAGCATTTTTACTCTTTAGGAAGTAAAAATAGTTTGTATCCTCTATGGAGTAAAAATCAGCTGTTGTCAACTCAGTTGTAAATTTCTATATTGTAAACGATTGCATGAATCGAAATATGTATCGATTCGTGCTTCGTAGTTATTTTAACCTACCGTCTCTTCCCATAGCCTTTTAGCATTGCAGATACATTAATCCATTCCCACACTCAACACGCTCACCTTTACTACTTCCTTCACCACCCTCAACGTCGTGGACCTGTTTCCCTCTCTTCCCATAGCATTTTAGGATTGCAGATACATTAATGTAATTGCCAAAGATAGTTCCCACACTCTGCACTGCAAGCCTTACTACTTCCTTCACCATTTCCTACGTCAGAGACTTGTTTCCTTCCCTTCTCATAGCATTTTTGGATTAAAGATACATCAATCTAACTACCACAGACAGTTTTCACACTATGCTCATACTTTACTACTTTCTAAGCCATTTCCTACATCGTGGACCTGTTTTCACCACTTTCCATAGCAATTTAGTATTTTAGATACGTTAATCTAATTGCCATAAACATTCCCCACACTCCGCACTGCTAGCCTTTACTACTTCTTTCACCATTTTCTACGTCGTGGGGATGCTTCCATCCCTTCTCATAGCATTTCAGCATTGCAGATACGTTAATCTAACTGCTACAAACGGTTTCCAGTTCCCACACTCCACACTGCTCACCTTACTACTTCCTTCACCTCTTCTTACGTCGCGGACCTGTTTCCCTCTCTTCCCATAGAATTTTAAGATTGTAGATACCTTAATCTAATCGTCATAAACAGATCCCACACTCCGGACAGCTCACCTTGACGACTGCCTTCACCACTTCATACGTCTCGGACCTTTTCTCTCCCTTCCCATAGCATTTTAGGATTGCAGATCCCTTAATCTAATCGTCATAAACAGTTCCCACACTCCGGACTGCTCGCATTTACTACTTCCTTCAACACTTCCTACGTCACAGACCTGTTTACCTCCCTTCCCATAGAATTTTAAGATTGTAGATACCTTAATCTAATCGTCATAAACAGATCCCACACTCCGGACAGCTCACCTTGACGACTGCCTTCACCACTTCATACGTCTCGGACCTTTTCTCTCCCTTCCCATAGCATTTTAGGATTGCAGATCCCTTAATCTAATCGTCATAAACAGTTCCCACACTCCGAACTGCTCGCATTTACTACTTCCTTCGCCAGTTCCTACGTCACAGACCTGTTTACCTCCCTTCCCATAGCATTTTAGGATTGCAGATACCTTGATCCAATGGTCATAAACAGTTCCCACACTCCGGACAGCTTGCCTTGACTACTTCCTTCACCACTTCCTACATCGTGGACCTGTTTTCCTCCCTTCCCATGGCATTTTATGATTGCAGATACCTCAATCCAATCGTCATAACCAGTTCCCACACTCCGGACAGCTTGCCTTGACTACTTCCTTCATCACTTCCTACGTCGCGGACCCGTTTTCCTCCCTTCCAATAGCATTTTATGATTGCAGATACCTTAAT